CAGCCCAACCGCCAACTATTGAAAACGGAAGAAGAGTTTATATTGGCTGGAAACATGGCGACCGCGCCAAATACAAATGTTTTCAAGGTTTTCGTCTCCGTGGAGACCTTTATATGACCTGCAGATATGGACGATGGGTTGGCTCGAGGCCCTACTGTGAAGAAGGTAAGATAATTGTTAAAATAAGCGAAAATAAACAACAAAAATTTCTATTATCTAAACATTCTATCTTTAAATTAATTAATTGATTTTTTTTTTAACTGCAGAAATGGCCAAATCATCATATTATAATCATGATTATAGCACTTCGACGTAGTGTAATTGTTAACAAACTTATTTCGCTAGATCAATTACTACTGAATAGTGAATTTAATCCTGAATGGGATCCCCATAATTTCAGCTTTGTGCCATTTCTTAACTACTCTTAGTATACAACCATATTATAATTCTGATTGTGTCTTAGTTCCCTACTTAGTGATTTAGTTAACTAGTTAATGCGTACGTTATGCAATGTTACTACTTCAAATAAAAAAAATAGCCCATTCCTGTTTAATTTCGAGGATAGACTGGAAAACATTTTCTTCTAGGAAAAAAAAGAAAGAGGGGGTTTCAGTGTGCACACATCGCTACTGAATGTGACACGAGGTAAAGGTTTAAACTGAGCTTAACGGCAATACCGTGGAAAAAAATGATCGAGCTTCCTCGGCACTTATCTTTCTGAGGACGCCTCAAGCGCTGAGTAATGACCCCCCAGGCCCCTCGAAGGAAAGATACTGCCTGGGAGGATGCCCCTTGAGCTATTATTATTTTCAATTCGCACGGCCTAAATGACTGAAAGGTTGAGATGAAAGAGAGGCGATAACACTCTCATGTGTTTAATGTCTGCTTCAGAAAATATTGTGTTAAAGTTGCTAAGCTCAAATATTAAACAATGCGATAGGGGAATTTCTAGGATATTTTATTGTCGTAAAACTCGCCATGACCTTATTCAATCATTGACTTAAGAATTAACATTCATCAGAAATTTAATACTGGAAAAATTCATGTATTTCTAGTTTTAATTAATTAATTTTACTTCGTAAACTGTCAGTCATTAAAGGTTATAAGCTGAATAAAATGCTTATTACTTTCACGGCTGCATTGTTATAGCATTGTTGACTGGCAGTGCTGGCTCATTTTGAGGAAAATCTGAAGTTAATATTTATTGGAAATAAATGAATATAAAGACACTGGTGCCGATTCTGATGAGCGCCACTATTTTCCTTCCGATCGGATACTGTGAAATACAACCAATGCCCACAACATACGAAATAATAGAAATAAGTCATAAATTTTTAAACGGATTTTAAACGACTATATAGTTATACTTGTTTCTATGAATTCCTAGCATAGCTAGTTAATAATTAATAATACAAAGTCTAGAGCTAGTTAATAATTAATAAATTATTAATAAACTCTAATAAACACTAGAGCTAGATAATAATTAATCATACAAACACAGAGCTAGTTAATAATTTATAATACAAAACACTAGAGACATTTTGCGAGGTCTTAAAACACACACACACACACACATATATATATATATATATATATATATATATATGCGGTGACAGAAAGAACGCAATCTTCAGTCCACGAAGGTTGAATATATAAAACATAACGAGAATTAACAAGTGGTGTTCTCTGATCTTTTGATGTTGAAACATTTTAACAATAGACTAAAAATTAAATTCCTAAAAAAATGAATATGCCTGCTAAAAGAATAATACATTGTCTCTTTAATTTAACAAACTCCTGCAAAAACCAAAAATACCAATTTCTGCTACAACCAAAACTGTGAAGACAATAAACGGAGTGAGTCAAAACGATTGCACAGTTTTACATCTTCATTATAGACGCCATGTCTGTCCCTGACTTGATGAAAACGTTCCCGGAAAGTGGATCGAAATACCGCTATCCGATTGTGCGGTCAGCATACTCCAAAATATAAAAACTTCAAATTTCTTTTTGGAAGGGATCAAAGTCCTTTTTTATTTGGGAAAGGCCTTGTACCGTTCAAAAACTGAAGGCTTAAATCACTGCCAACTTTGAGGAAATTGCTATCGTGCAGATGTACCACTATGTGACTACTCAGATACAATTGTATATTGCAAAAAAGACAGGACACTTTAAACATTGCAATTAATACAGCTTGCTGAAGTTCCCTGATAATTCCCCAGCAAATAAATGTTTAGATAAACAAATCTGTTACTGATTTCTGCCTTCTTTCACACAGTAAAATTTACGGACTCAATCACTTTCCGTCATCGTAACGTAGCTTCCCTTAAATATTTCCATGGTTATTGTTCTAATGAAAGTTTCTGTTCGGTAACTCGACTTTTAGAATTTAAGCACAGTAGTAGATTGGCAACTGAGTTTCATATCTTTACAGTTAAAATGGCTAGATATAACCGTAAGTCCTATGTTAACAGTTTCTTCACTTGCATCAACGGCTTGTGGAACACTCTGCTGGCCTCTTGATTTATTTTACAGTGTAAATTACCAGATTTAGCTGTAAATTCTATGTTAATGGTTTCTTCTCTCATATTTCACGTTTGTGAAACTCTTGCTTTCCAGTCAACATTGAGCTTTCAAAATTTAAATGCAATATCAATCGTCATTTTTTCTTCTTAATTCCAGTTCTTTTATTGTTCTCTCTCCTTAATAATGTCTTCTTTTTCTAATATTCTTCCACACTCATTCAGTAACCACATTGCGTCTTAGTGGCTTTATTACCTTGCTTGGAATGAAATGATTAAAAACAATACATAATACAAATGGCCATCAATCAACTGACGGTCGTAAAAACTGAAATCAGGCGTTATTGTTGATTCAGCAGGTATTTTCTTGCAATATGAAGTACGATTTGATTTAGCAAGGGAAGTTGTCAGATTGAACTGTTGCTTTTAAAATATTTTATCAATAAACTAAAAATCAATTACTTTATAATCGGATTTTGGCACGAACAAATTCTTCGAGTTGCAGACAATCCGAATAATTGTAAATCTACTTCCTATTCTTGAAATAAAATTTTATTTTTATTAATTTATTCATTTTTCCTATCCTTTTCGTGCCACCCATTCCTGTTGAATTATGAAATATCTTTATGCTGTCTTATAAACAATATAAATTGGAAATTTCGCCTGGTACATTTCAGAAAAGTCGGACACACAAAGCCACGTTGCCAATCTCGCTTGTTTATCGTGAGATTATGTTTCGTCCGTCTGTTCCTCCATCGTTCAGCTCCAATTGTCGCTAAAATATTTAATCTGCAAACGTGAACAAGTTAGTTCAAACGTGAAAATGATCAAAAGAAGAGACAAGTAAATAAGGCAATGATGGCTGCTCAATCGCACCAACTGACAGTTTCACCAGAGCGCAGCACGAAAGTGGTTTTTGAGCCAAACCAAAGATTCATACTCCTTGGCAGATTGTTATGAACTAAAGTTGACTTTGAAATCATTTTCGACTACTGATAACCATTGTTGATCAGATTTTAACAAGCAAAGCCCCTCCTTTAAGCTTTTTCCCTCAATTCCTGACCAAAGATATCTATTAAACTACATCATTTTAAACAATCGAAGGTGAATGATTTATACAAGACTAGCCTCTCCTTGATAAAAAAAAATTAATCACACAGACCCGATTTTCCCGATAGATAGATAGATAGATAGATAGATAGATAGATAGATAGATAATGAAACAACTGAGATAGCTAGATAGATATGAATAAAGACAAAAGGAAAATTGATCTTAGCCGACACGTTTGGCCCGCTGATGGACCACATAAATACATTCGATAAGTTTTCCTTTTATCTATATTCATATTGTCCTTTACAGATATAGTCTATCTTGAATTTATATATTATATATATATATATATGTATGTATATATATATATATATATATATATATATATATATATATATGATATCTGAAATTTTACAGACTCACAACACACGCATAACAAACACACACACACATATATATATATATATATATATATATATATATATATATATATATATATATATAAGTGTATTACTTCAAAAGTTATTAGAGTGGATATTACGTATTTGGAATATTGATGGGTAAAAATGCTCAATTTCCAAAATATAATCCGTGTAATCATAAGAGTAGTCACTGAGCTAAACGCCGAGTGGCAACAGTCTGTTTCGAGCCTGAAAATAGATTTCAAGTCGCCAGTCGGCGTTCAACGCAGTTTCTATTCTTTCTTTACACTGTCCTTTAATGATCGGAAACTGTTTAAATGCAAGTAGCATGGATTAGACATCGCCTAGCAAATATATTTATTACATAACTGATATACAAGATTTCAAAATATTATCTAAGATTTGGATATTACATCCCTGAGATGGTCACTACGACAAAGGAAACATGTACGAACTCGCTCTCGCATTTCAAACACAGAGCGTCTTAGCATATCAACTGTGTGGAGGTTCCCCACACCGCTGTGGAACAAAAACAAAATATACAGTTTCAAGGTATTGCTCAATATCAAAGATAGAGCGTATGAAAATATAAATATAAAAGTGGGGGTCTAAGGTCAACACGTGAAAGTTTGTTTTAACCCAATCTTCAGGATATATATATATATATGCCTGATTGAATAAATTGCAAATTTATTTATGAATGCTTATTTTGATGATAATCCTTTCATATTCATGAATATTTTTCCGTATATTACCATTGAGAATAACTTTTATTTATTTTATTTATCACTGTTACTGTGCATTTCTTGCCTTATTTAATTGTACTATACGGAAAAATACTCGTGAATATGATCAAAATAAGCAGGCATAATGTTTGTAATTTATTTAATTTGACATGACTAAAAGATAACCTGCTACTTATCGATATAGACAGTGTGTAGCAATCAACACTGCATGGTGACTGTACGCGCAAAATGACTTTGAGGCGCGAAATGAAAAGTTACAATGCAATGTTGGTGCCAATGTCCACTCTCTCTCTCTCTATCTCTCTCTCTCTCTCTCGCGCGCACACACACGCGCTTTCTCTCTCGCGAGCTTTCTATCTATCTCGCTCAACCTACACACGCACACATACATCCCAGCTATAGATATTATGTTTTCTCAAGTACCCAGGGAGGTCAACTAAATAAATATTGTTTCAAGTAAACGGAGCGTCTACTTAAATACGGCTATCCACTAAAAAGAAAATCTATTAATTCATTTTATACACAAACACATATATCTATATATACATATCTATATCTATAATATATATATATATATATATATATATATATATATATATATATATATATATATATATATATGTCTAATGCCCATTCGTATCCAGATATGCCTATCTAGTAGGGCGGGGAACCAAGCCAGGCACATTTGTGTTTGTTCAACACACATAGAACCCACCTGTAGTTTATACTGCAAATATGCGGACATTAGTTACATTTTCCGGGAGAGATGCCAATATCGACGGATCCCAAATCAGTCCATCAATTTCACATACGATGATTGGGTCAACCAGGACATGGCACTTTTCAAATGTGCCACGCATTGTGATCAAGACGTCATTTTATTTGAGTCTCATGGTCGAAATCCGAACGTTCTAACCACTCTACCACCTGCCGACCCTACCCACTTCACTTCATACATATATATATATGTGTGTGTGTGCGTATATACATACATATATATATATATATATATATATATATATATATATATATATATATATATATATATATATATAATAATATATATTTTATATATATTATTTATCCAAAATTTTAAAAAGCTGCGTGAAACCCAGGGTCACAAACTCACATCAATTCAGTTAAATATATATATATATATATATATATATATATATATATATATATATATATATATATATATATATATATGCAATTCAACGTTCGTAACATTTTAATTTAAAAGAGGAATCAATACAAAGTAGAGCAATATGCTTTATTCTAGGACATTACATCGAAACTCATGTGAAAATCGCTACACAAATGCAGTAGTGTTTTTATGCGTATGAACGCATGTCATCAGGCGATTGTGAATTATAAATTGGATAATTTACAATCTCCTGATGAGATGCATTTTATGCATCGAAACACGACTGCAAATGTGTAACGATTTTAATATGTTTTTCGATGTAATATCCTAAAATAAAATAACATATATATATATATATATATATATATATATATATATATATATAAGAACATTGAACTCAACATCTAGAGGCCTCCTATGTTGACCTCAGTATTCACTTTTATTTTACATACGCTCTATCTCTGATATTGAATACTTTAACCTATAAATATAGTTATATATTTCTTCATATATATATATATATATATATATATATATATATATATATATATATATATATATATATATTGAAATACGGACTGAAGATAAATTTGAGTGTATGCTAAAAGCTTTTATCCCGACCCACTTTGCCAAAATCAGCTCAGACAAAATATTCACTATTTACTTTTGAATTCCTTCTTGGTCTATCCGAAAACTTTTCAGCACCCCCGAGTAATACTTTTCAACAATGCCGTGTCTATGCTTGGCCGCCTATGAGTATCTTCTTCAAATAGATCTGAAGCACCATTTCTACTTGTTAGCACGTCAGTCTACATGCAAAGACAATAGACTTACATCAACCAATAAGACTGGCGCGTTGAGATTTAAATAGTTGCTATGACGATTGTTCCCTCTAGGCATTTAACGTTAGCATTTAAAAATCAATAATTATAAACAATAATTAAAAAGAAGACAAAAACCTCATTAAAAATAATATATTTCAAATTATCTTTAGCGGGTCTGCATATGACCGCTTCTACTAGTGTCTGCTTCAATGCAACGACAAATAAATGCGTATGTATGTGCGATAACAGTCATTTTTATTATGCTTTCTCGGGTGAGCAAGCCGGTACTGATTAAAAACCTAAAAAGAAAACCAGGCGTCTATTTCTACCAAAGGCATCCACTAAAAATAACATAGTAAAAATATTGGATTAAAATAATTCCACTGATCTTTAGAAATTGGTTTGTTTACGCTATGAATAAGAAATCTAGCAGATCCGGGATTTTGCGAAAATGGGTATTCCTTAAAAGGGTAAATAAAACCCTGCTCGGGTATAATGTGGTCCGTGGCCGAGAAGTCTAAAGCACATCGGATCAAACGGCGATTTCGCCTACAAAAGTGGATGCAGGTTCGAACCTAGCCACTGAGTATATTTTCTTAATTTTTCTCGTGTGTGCACTGTTTTAGATAAAAAAAAAAACGGGACGTCTATTTTAAACACCTGTATCCACTAAAATTAGCGTTTGTATATATATATATATATATATATATATATATATATATGTATGTATATATATATATATATATATATAGAGAGAGAGAGAGAGTCAGAGAGAGAGAGTCAGAGAGAGAGAGAGAGTTAATGCTTCTGAAGATAAGATAAACTGGTTTAAAAATGACAACTGCCAAAAAATTCTTAGTTCTTACCGACACATTTCGTCTTCCGACTTTATCAAGGCAAGCCATGAAAGCGAAATGTTTTGTAGCCATTTCACTTTCATTGCTTGCTTTGAAAAAGTCGGAACGCGTCGGCAAGAACTAAGAACCTGACAAATTAACCAATTGATTCAGTTATGAATTTTGTGCGATAATCTTAAGTGGCACTTAAGACCAGCTAATGATTTGCAAAGGAGGCCGAATATGAAGCAAGACTGAGGTCACTGTTAGATTGGCTGACCTTTTAGATCTTGCCCTTACTTCTTAAAGACGATTCAGACTAGTAGATTGAAAACCGCTGAGTCCATTAAAACACGTTGATCTCCACTCTACCCGCTACAAGGCTAAGCGCTCGAGGGTGTTATGAAGTATATGGACAGCTGACAAGTTGCTCTTCAGCTTGTCTTTGTATCTAAACCATGGGCGTCCTAGATTCCTCTTGCTACTGGCTGTTCATTAGGATCTTGAGTATCCTGTCATCAGACATTCTCAAGACAATGACCAGTTCACTGCAACTGAGACTGTGCGTGGAAAGTCTCTATTCCTCCAATATTACACCTGTTAAACAGATCTACACTGTATGTCCTGTCTTGAAGTCTAACTCCACAGATGGTACCCAGAGAGCTCTTATGAAATAGATCCAGCTGGCGTATATGGTACCTGTATAGAGTCCACGACTCTGAGCCGTACAAAAGGATATCAAGGACAACGGCTCTGTATACCCGAATTTTCATATCCAGTCGGATACCCCGCTCATCCCACATGCGATGGTGAATTTTGCCGAAAGCACTGGTAGCCTTAGCAGTCCGATGCATGATTTCATCATCTATTGATCCACGGTAGTTGACTTTGCTATCAAGATAGGTGAAAGACTTTACATATTTCAGGGGTTTGTCTTCTACTTTCTATGTTCTCTTTGAAAATTTGTAGACTGGTGGTTTTTGTTTCACACCACGGAATTGTTTCGGACAAGGTTGGTGCACTACATCAGTTTTCTTTATGCTAAATGTAAGACCAAAGGCTTTACATACAGCAGAGAAACGAATTATTAGATGTTGGGCCTCTTCAGAGGATTTCGCAACAAGAGCATCATCATCAGTAAACAAGAAATCACGGACAATTTGTGTACGAAGTTGGGTCTTGGCTTTGAAGCACTGATGATTGAAGAGACCCCCAACTGAAACTTGACACCGCGCTCTTTGTCGGTATCACCGAGAAGAAACGGGCAAAAATGACAGAGGTTATGACACACCGTTTCTTGGTGACGTTCGTGACATCAAAAGATTCTGACATCATACCATCAGACTCGATATTAACTTTCATTCCTTCATGAAAGGAAAGGATCACCTTTAGCATTTTTTCTGGGATACCGAGTTTCCTCAAGACTTGCCAAAGAGCCTCTCGAGTACAACTCCTGATTTTTCTTGCGAACCTTCTCTGCAATTTGACGAAAAGAAAATATCATGTCAATTGTGCTACGACCAGATCGAAAACCTCACTGTGATTCAGGACAGATGTCGTCAACCAGGTGTATAATGATTCTGTTTAGAATCAGTCTAGCTAGGATTTTGCCTGCAATTGAAAGTAGTGATATCCCCCCGATGATTATCACAGACACTCCTGATACCCTTGTTTTTGTAGAGGCGTTTGATAGAGGCGCCTTTATAATCCTGTGGGATACAGCCTGCCTTACATATCTCCACGAAAATATTGGGCACTATGCTTATGCACTTCGGTTGAAATAGAGTCCTTAGGAGTAGGCGATTTTCCAGATTAGATCTGCTTGATAAATCACTTTCCTCTTGATAGGTAGGTTCAAAAGACAACTCCGAAATTTTTGGATATTGCACAATTGATGTGATGGCTTCCTCATCAGTAACGGAAGTGGTGTTTAACACAGTTTCAAAATGCTCTTTCCAGCTATCCAAAATGTCTGAATTATCCGTCAAGTGAGTTTCACCATCTACCGTGGAGATTGGAGCAACACCGAAAACGCTCTTGAGGTCAGCATAGAAAGCCTTTACATCCTTTCTATCTGAAGCTTTTTGGAGTTCAATGGCTTTTTCAGGCGACCATCGCTCTTTCATAGGTTTGAGAGCTCGTTGGACCTGACTTTTAAACTTCTTAAAAGTGATCTTCTTAGAGGACGAGTTCATGTCCTCAATCCACGTTTTATGAGAAGAGTGCAATTGATCTATAAGCTCCTGAACATCTGTATTATTGTCATCGAACCAGTTTACGATGTGTTAGGCCGAGAACCTCCAAGGATGCAGTATGTGTTGCATCCCGCAGAGCCTTCCAAAATGATTCGATGTCATTGGTAATGTTTACAGAATCAAGTGCAGCATCAAGTTTGTCAGAGAGTTCAATTTTCGTTTCAGTAGATTTAAGAGGCAGTACGTTAATGCGCTTGGGCGCAGTAGATTTTATATTTTGCTTTTTCAGATGCAGTATAGTCTTACTCCGAAGTAGAGCGTGATCTGACAGATAGCAACGCTTGATATTAAAAATCTTTTATGTCCCTTCTTCTGGCGATGACGTAGTCAATCAGATGCTAGTTTTTCGACCGAGGG